AGCTCATGGCATGAGCCTGCTGTAAACTCGCGACTTCAGACGTAGTCGAAGTACGGGAATCTCGAATGGCTGGCGCATAGCGCACTCGTGGCCTCTTTAAATTGCTCTTCGACAGATATTGGGTCAGACATAGTCTTAATGTCTGTTGTGTTTGGCCATGGCCTTTGCTTGGTATGCGAAGCTTGCCGTCGCTTGTAGTTGCTGTTCATGTTGTTTATCGTGCGAATTTGTAATCGGAGAAGGAGGTGTTTTGCTAACGCTGAGCGCATTGAGGTTATCGTGCCAGCAATGCCACGTTCTAAGAACGGATTTGGTGTGAGTCGAAATTCGTCTTCACCCTTAGGACTGGGCTTAAACTTATAGTCTTCGAGGAAGATGGCATCACTTCCGTAATCCACATCTACCTCTAACTCTCCTTCATAGAGATCATTAAGGCCTTAGGCTCATGACTAGGGGGTGTCATTGCACGTACACTATACACAACCGTTAGGTTTGATGCTCGTGTTTCGCAACCTCTTTGAGGATTATGTCGAGTGACCTTATGTGGTACCGTCGGTCTGGTGAGGGGAGATTGTAACGAGGTTACACGACGGTTGAAACATCATTCCGAAAGTTTACGGTTGAAATTTCCTTTTATTGCATATAATGTATTCTTGATACCTCTTTATAGAGAGGTATTAAGTATAAGCGTTAAGATACGGTATCCGTTAATACCGTATCTTATCGATTAGGATTCGATAATCGATATCGCTGTACTAAGTACACCATGCACAGATGTTTGGACATCACATCGTCCAATAGCGAAGTCTGCATATTATAATTACTATTATAGTAATTAATCTAGTGTAGGGTACTTCGAGTAGGACTATTCACAAAATCTTAATGCATAAATAAAATCAGTTCTCATTTTGAGTTAAAGAGAACAAGTCTCTTTGACTTTTTCTCTTGTGCACTTCGTGCGTTCGTTCTCTGAACCTTTAAGCTCCTAGATTGTTCTTGCACTATGTGCGTTGGTTCTTTGAACCTGAAGCTTATTGCTTGCCGACTAAAAGTCCCTCCTAGTTCCTTAGAAGAGGGCGGCTTCTTAGTCGTTTAATTAGTTCTATACAACCAAATAGATTTTACGGCTAAAAGCCGCTTAGTTCTAAGGAACTAATTGAGCGACTTATTCTATAGAACTAACAGGCTTTCTGTCTGAAAGTCTTTCTCTGGCTAAGAGCTGTGTAGCTCCTCTAAAGGGAAGTTATAACCACAAATAATTTTAAACAAATAAGATAAGCTACGGATCCACTCAGCCGCCGCCTCCTCCTCGGGACGGCTTTCAGATTCGAAAGGTGGGAGCCTACCACTGTATTTTTGTGCGGCGCTGTAGATCGGCTCCTACACTACAAGCGCCAGACGTGCCTGCGCCATAAGGACACGATGCAGCATACCAAGTCTTCCTCGTCGTCTTTAGATGCTTGTGACAAATATCAATCCGGTTTTCACGCCCCTAATTCATGTTTAATAGTATCCTTTTACGCCCTGGAAGCTGCCTTCGTCAGTGCCAGATAAATCTCTTTTAGTGAGGCATCACGGGGATGGTTTGCCTTTACTTATTGGATGCACTCCTGCAGCTTTTCATCAATCTCATCCAGAAAGATGCCACGGGCCACGGCCGTCATCTTATTTAACATCTAGACAATGGCCTTGTCAGCTGAGAAGCCACACATGAACCAGAACTTCTTACGAAAGAGCTGCTTCGAAAGCATACTCACCCCCTGTCGGTAGCCTGCATATTGTGTGCCATGTCAGCAAGATTATAGCGCAATTTGGACGTGTCATGTTGGTCAAGACTTGAGCGCCTAATTCACACGCTTGTCCGTCAAATAGCGCAAAGTGACCACGCGACTGCAAAACATGTAGACAGGCATTTCTACGAAGTTGCCTCGTACTACTTAGCGCACACCTTCAGCACAAGAGAGGAAGCGGTTAGACCGTCTTACCTTCGCGTGCAATTATGGATGTGTGGTTGGTCGATTGCTAAAGCAGTCGTACCACCAGTTGTGTGGAAGAGCGGATAAACAAAATTTCGTGGAGTGGAAATCGCGATCCATGTTATGTGGACCACACACCCAGGATTGATCGCGATCCAAGGTAAAGCGCGATCCAATGCCGAGCGCGATCCAAGGTAAAGCGCGATCCGACTCAAAACCGCGACCCGACTCAGAAGCGCGATCCGACTGAGAACCGCGATCCGACTTAGAACCGCGATCCAATGCCGAGCGCGATCCAAGGTAAAGCGCGATCCGACTCAAAACCGCGACCCGACTCAGAAGCGCGATCCGACTCAGAACCTTGATCCAAGGTAAAGCGCGATCCGACTCAGAACCGCGATCCGACTCAGAACCGCGATCCGACTCAGAACCGCGATCCAAGGTAAACCGCGATCCAGTTCACAAGGATTACGCATTATGGATCGACCGCGATCCTGAACTGATATGCGATCTGATTCAGATCGCGATCCAAGGATAAGGCAAGATCGCCGATGAATCAGGATGGCAAAAGCATTTGGGGTGGACCACATATCGAGATCTGATTTTTTCTCGAAAGGGCGATACGTGGTGATAGATCCTGGACTACAGATAGGCAGAATCGTAGGTTTCGATCGTTGATTGGTTAACACTAAACAGAGTTCAATTTTACTTCTAATACACGTGTCGACTTCTCTTCCGGGATGGATTCTTTAGCCACCCGACGTCTCGAGGAAGCCTACACACTACGCAAGTCATATCCCTGGATTGTTTTACCAGGGATTGCAAGAACTTTCAGCACAACTCAACTGCGATCGGACGCAAATAAAACACGTAGGGCAAGGCGAAGCAAGTGCAGGACGGATCAAGTGGTCAGAAGGTTTTGCTCAAATGGTCTGAAGACTCAAGCTTCGTTTTTTATTGGATAACCGTGATCGATTGGGAAGATCACACCAAGTTCTCGGTTTATCTTGTGAAGATTTCCACAAGATAACCTAACCCCCTATCCCTAACCCAATTAGGATCAACATCGACTCAGGTCCACCAAGAAGAGAGCAACCCGCCCTACCGACGGGTACACAAGGTGAGGAAAGCTATACACACGGAATCAGGGATCCCCCTCCGTTAGTCGTTCGTAAGGGCGCCAGTAAAGAGTTGGGATCGCATCAGCAATCTTGCGAATCCCACTCCACCACCGTTGCCTCGCTTAAGCGAGAGCGCAACAAACTTTTGAACAAGAAGTCACCGACGTCACGCAGAAGCTTTTCAGCTTCTCGTGCGTGGTGCTTTGCGCTTAGTAAATTCAAGACTGAGTTATATTTAATGAATTATAATTACATATAAAAATTAACTACTGATTGACTAATTATATAAAGATCGGATACGCGACTCTTTAGAAGCGTATCCTGACGCATGAGCTTAAATGTAGATCTAAGCTCGCTAATAAAAATGACGTCCTTCTGGGACGTCGCGATGCCTATCTTCAACTAGCGTCATCCCTTCCCATGTGAATCCATCAATGGATATCACATTCACGAGGGTGGATCACATTTGTGTATCGCACCCAAGTGACAGGTCAAAAAAATCATGGATACTTTAGACCTTACGTTAATTATATTTTATAACGTTTACGTGTAACTAGATACCCTGTTACAGTCTTACCTCCGCGTGCGGTGGTGGTTGCGTTGATCGGTCGCTTAAAGCGTCGAACCAAAATGTTGCCTGCCGCTGCGAGCGTCCTTGCAACGAGCATCTAAAGACAAGAGCTCCACTTACGAGACGCAGAAGCTTATTTTTTTCAGTTTCGTGCGCGGTGGACAATGTTTAGTAATTTCAAGACTGACTTATATTTAATAGATTTAAAAGAAATAGAAGCTTACTACTGATTAGTTAATATGTAAAGATCGGATACACGTCTCTTTTAGAAACGTATACCTACGTACGAGCTTAAATATATTTAAGCTCGCTGATGAGGTCCGTCTACGACATCACCATATAGCCTAGTCCCAACTGGGCGTCATTTCTGTCGAATGTGAATACATCCATGGATATTACATCACGAGGAAGGTCACATGGATGTGCCTCACCCAAGTGGGAGGTCGAAGGTACCACGTGTTCTTCTAGACCTCCCCATTTAGTATCATATACTTAACGGACTCGTGTGACTATTGGCCCGGTTTAATGTGGACCAATTATTGAATATGCTAAGCGACCTCCTGTGCACTGCTTCTGCTTATCCTGATCGGGTTGGGGTAACGCCCTCCCGGAAGGCTTCAGCTAGCTTTATGCTATCTCAGGCCTTGGACGGATTCTTTCGCGGCATCCGTCAGTTTTGGACGGTCCTCTCCCTATACACACCTGCTCTCATATCCAGCCGCCAGTCAGGCCGCCACGATGTACGCCGCCACGCCTAAAGTCCCAAAGTCCCGGCATATCCGCTTTGGTACGATCGCGTAATCCTTTGTTCCCGGTGCAAGCAACAAGAGACCCTCCCTGGGTAAGACCTGTTGACAAGATAGACATCCAAGAGGTGTAAGCAAGAAACCTACCGCTGGACACCGCCGTCGACTGGCCCCAGACCTGCACCTTCTTTGCCTGTGTGCAAAGGATCGTGCAGCCTGGACGGCCTTCAGCGCGCCGCTTAATGGACCCTGGCGAGAGTAGAGATAAATGTAGAGATTGAGACATAATCGGACGCAAGCGGAAGTTGAGGCACTGTGATGGCAAGACGGCTCGCGTAACGCGTTTACATACATGTATAAGCTTTTTTCACATAAATGTGCTTGCGTCATTGTTCAGATGTGTAATGTAATGTAAGTGTTAAGTTAAAGTCCAGTAAATACATAAGATTGCCTGTTCATTTTCCACACCGAAGAAGAATAAAAAAGTAGCACAATCATTTCACTAAATGGTGTGCCACACATTGCTACTTTAGTCTTAAATAAGTGCACTAAATTCAGTTTCGAGTGTCTTCTGCCTTGTATTCCAATGGTGACTCGTAAGAGTGTGAAGTCAGCTCTCCGTGCCCATCACATGCCGTCCTATTTACGCCATGTTGAAGGTACATTTCAAAACCGACGTGGCCAAAATTTGTCTTATTTGGCTCTTTTTCCATCTGTTGAGACGCCACTACGTGGTATTGTGCTCTACTTGCATGGAATTGGTGACCACAGTCGTCGCTATTTTTATCTCTATGAACGTCTTTGCAATAGTAACTTTGGTGTTTTAGCCTATGACATGTTGAGTCATGGAATGAGTGACTTGGATTTTCATGGATTAAGGGCCCATAGTGCCAAATTCCAGTACTTTATCGATGATACGAACGAGTTTATCACCATGGCTAAGATGCAATTGTACGAACAATTGGAAATTACCTATTCTACTGATGAACCTAAACTGATTATATCGGGCATGTCGTACGGCACATTGGTGAGTCTTCACACCATATTGAGTGGGAAACATGACTTTAGCGGTGTCGTACTTGTTGCTCCAGCCTTGTTGGCCGAAATGACAATCATGTTAAAAGTGCAAGCGTTCTTTGCTTGGCCGTTAAGTAAACTCATCCCGAAAGCAAGAATCGTGCCAGGAGTTAATCGCGACTATGTATGCAGAGACCAGGACTATCTCGATGACTTTATGGCGGACCCGTTAACAGTCTCGGAGCCAATAACTGCGAGAATGGGAGCGGAGACGTTGAAGGCTATGAGAGCTTTGGAAGTGGACAAGAGAGTGGAAGACAAAGATAGTGCGCTGTGTAAGCTGCCTTTGTTGATGATGATGGGGTCGAACGATAAAGTGACGAGTTTAGAGCTTGCCCAGGTGTTTTACGAACGACTTGCGGCGAGTGAAAAGGAGTTTAAAATTTTTGACGAATACTTCCACGCACTTTTTGATGATCCGGAGCATGAGGCAGTCTTTAGCCATCTAGAGGATTGGCTCAAGACAAAGTTTCCACTTCGAAAAGGAGCTAGTAAGGATGACACTATCGACGTGAGAGAGACCGTGAAGACCAAAGCCGAGGTAGAGAAGGATGAAACAAAGGCGGGGGCTGCAGAGGCTTCGACAACCGTGAAAGAAAAGAAAGAGGACAAGACTTGTGTAATGGAAGTGACTGATGATATTGTCGCTGCCTTTAACACGTCTTCAATAACAGATGAAAACAAGGCTGAAGTTGTTGAGACTATAGAAGTACGTAAAGAGAGACACAAGGCTGAGGTTCCCAAGACGGTCGTCGTAGCTTCAGCAGAAACGCAGGTCGAAGGGATCCATCCGATCGCTCCAATAACGGACGAAAGAAAGGTTGAAACTGTTGAAGTTGTTGAGAAACCCGTCGAAGCCCAGTCGTCACAGCATCGGAGGAACTCAAGCTTGGGGTCATTCACGGAGAAACCGAACGCTTAGGTTGCTGAGACTTGCGGTGCCGAGGAGGCCATTGCACTTTTGAAAAAAAACAAGGAAAAGTGCCAGCTACTAAGACGGTGGAGACATCATAGAGCAACAGTGTACGGCAAAAGCGACGTAAAACAAGATTCAGTGCTGACGTGAGTAGTAAGGTTAGATTAACAGAGGCAGAGACTACGAGCATAAACGCTGTTTCGGTCTTTGAAGGTATTTTTGATCGCAAGGTAAGACCTATAATCTTTATGTATTTCTATCTGCCTGGAAAAGACTTGATATTTTTTGTAGTCTCCATCATTAACTACAACTTCAGTATCCGGCATTAAATGCTCATCTCACCATTCTGTCACACGAACCCACGATTTATCTATTGTAATCATCCTATTCGACTCCATAATTGCTCAATAGTCGCACAAAACACGAGACGGCTACGTTTTACCAGTCAATTGTATGCATACAATCAGCATTTGCCGTCAAATTTGTGGTCCCAATGCCTCTTTATATTAATCATCGTATCTAATTCATCGTCAGAAACAACAATTGCACTGCTAAACTTCATCTAACTCAAGTCGCTCACTCACCCATCCACTCTTTCCACTAACTTGCTGACAACTAGCACTTTTAGCACTTGGCATTATTTTTGTATCACTCTTTAGCTTAGATATCCCATTTCTTAAACCGTGGTCATGTGCCCTCGCGAACTTAAAGCGATGCTGTTATTTAAGTTTAATTTTCCATGTTTCAGAGCCTTGTAAGTTTGCTTGAGGCGAGAAAGCGACTTCCAATTACTTTATACCTGTCTTACATGTTAAACCTTATAAATCTATACAATTTGACTGTCTTTAGAGTAATCATTGTAGACAGGTTCTACTGGATACAGTATCATGCTAAATCGCAAGTCAAGGGACAGAAACATCACAAGTTTCAGAATTTATACATGTAATTAGGGTACATTTTATTTTACCAGAATAAAAACATTTAAACACCCCATCAGTTTGAAAATTAAGTCCTTTTTGGCCTTAGCATTTACTCTTGAGGCCCGTTGTTTCCTCTGATACTGCGTTTATCATGCATACGGAGCTGTCTCCGATTAAGTCGAAAAGGATGGAAGAGAAGGCATCGCTGCAGGTGCGTGCAGTGCCGCGTTGCGTTTTAATTTGCTTACAATTGATGAAGAAACATTTACTCTCAAGAAAATATGTTTTATCCTGTTTTTACTTTTATTTAATTGCTTTATGTAGCAATTAAATTCGCGTCTGGAGATGTATGTGCTGGGCGTGAATGAGCTAGAAGGAGCCAAGTATGCAGCAGAACGTGAGTTGGAGACAATTAAGCAACGTATGCAGCAAGATGTGGAAAGTGTGCGCTCCCGACTGACTAAAGAACTGGAAGAAACACGCAAGTACGGAAGATTTTAAGTGTTTTTACTCTTTGGTGGTAAAAGTGTTAAAACGCTTTATAATTTGTTGTAACATAGAAAATTGGACGATGAAATGGACCAGAATGCTCGACTGCAGACACTTGAGCAGGAGCAACACAAGGAACTTGTGAAGTTACGAGCACAACAGGCAGAGCTCGGAGAAGCAAAAGAGCTGGTGAATTCTTTGAGGGCACAGCTGGAGAGGGAGAAGGCCAATGCAGTGTCAGCCAAAGAAACGCTGTCAGAACAAACAGTGCAGTTGAATACGGCTCAACGTCGAGTCAAAGCGTTGGAACGCGATACACGCAGCCAAGCGGCGGTGCTAAATGATGCTCTACAGGAGTTGGAGGAATTGAGGAAGAAAAGTGCAGATTTTGACATGATAAGAGATACGGAGTTATCTAAATTGAGAAAGGAGTGGACAGCAAAACATTTGGAGACACAGTCCCAGTGGAAGAAAGATACCGAGGATCGACTACAGACAATGGAGACGGAAGTGCGCAGTCACTATGAAAGTGTTTTGAGTAGTTTGCAGAATCAATTGGATGACGTTAAAGCAGAGCTAGAAAACACCAAACAGGAATTGGACCGGACGGCAAATGACTATGAGGAAAGTCTGAAGGCGCGTCAGTCGCTTACCGAAAAGGTGGCGCAGTTAGAGCGTGACTACCGTGAAGTCAGGACAAAGTCGATTAAGGACCGCAAAACGTATGAAGAAACATTAGAGCGGTTTAGATCTTCAAAGATCTCTAAAGAGCGCGAGTTTAACGATCTGATGGATGTCAAAATCGCGTTGGACGCTGAAATAATGAAGTATCGTCGTATTTTAGACCGCGAGGAGAGCCGTGTGGCTGTCGCGACGCCTAACACAAAGGGTCGCAAGCGAAAAGGTGAGAATACGAACGGCACTGCGTCGAAGCGAGCAAAGCGTGCAGTATTTGGACCAGATTATTTGTCGTCGTCAGTTCCAGCAGTTGAAATTGCTTCGTTAAATTTGGAGAAGGACCGCATCGTGCTTAAGAACAATAGCAGTGAGCCTGTGCCTCTTGGTGGCTGGGTCGTCCGTGGACAGATGGACCAAACTTTTCGGTTTCCGGCAACTTACGTGATGCGTCCACATTCCACGCTGACTGTTCACTCGAGCAAGAGAAACAAAAATGCAAAGGATGAGCGCAAGAAAGGCGAGGACTCTTTCTTGGCTAACAAGTTTTCACTGAACCAGAAGGGTGATTTTGCTGTCTTGGTGACGTCGGATGATATCCCTGTGAGCATGAAGAGTGAAGGACTACCTGAAGAGGAAGTGTGCGCGATTGAGGCGGACCTTCGTGCAGATTTCATGAACGACGAAGTCCCTCCGTGTGGAAACGTAAGTGTTTATGCAAATTATTATGTATGTCTGTTTTGATATTGATTGTGCAAACAGTGCGGCATGATGTAAAACAAGCAGAATGAAGCCACGCAAGCAAGAGAAAGCAAAGACTGGAAAGGCTCATTTTTGCGTATCACGCCTCATCCGTGTGATTTTTCTTTGAAGACTGTTTGCCGTAAAAAATTAAGAACCTCACTTATTTTTCCCGCTCATTGCTGCTGAAGGTGCTGCAAAGTTGCAGAAACTGTGTGTGTGTGTGTTTGTGTATTTGTGATTGTAATAGAAATCAGGGCTTTGCAGGGTGAACAAAAGCTGAGCTGCTATAAAGGTGGGTGCGGCGCACGATTACAGCTAGCTCAAGGTATTTATCGTGATGACCTTATTTTAAGCGAGAAGGTCACAACAAGTATTTATCCTCGTTTTTGTTGCGGTTGGACCGTATGTTGTTGACGGCAGTAGGCAGCACAACGAGTCACCATGGAAAGACCGTCACTACTGGGAATAGGAACGTCGACGTAAAAATTGAATGCCGAAGACTTTCCTAACGGCTACTAGAGTCAATGTTAGATATCGCCACTGCCTTAGTATGATCAAGTAGATCGTCGAAGTCACGACGGTATTTCAAAGTCGGCGGAGGCATTAGTATGAATTGCGAAGAGGTAGTGGCGTAAATGCTTTTGGTGCTAGCATTTTGTGTCTGTACCTGTCAATTTGACGTGGCCTATAGATCGACTTTTGGCTTTAAAAAACATTGGGTGACGGATTGATTTGCATTTTGGTTGAAGCTCGCACCGTATGTGGTATTGTTATTCGTCGTAGAAGGACAAATCAACTGCCTGAGCATGATCCTATCGCCCGCCAGCAGATGTTGATGAAAATGTGTTCTCGAGACAGCTTGGCATTTGGGAAAAAGAAAAACAAGATTGGGCTAGAACGTATAGCGAATTTGCCAGACAGTTTTTCACCAGCGGATAATTCCTTGGTAGCTAGCTCCCAGCCAAGATTAAACTCATCGAAGATATTCGCATCTAGAAGCTGCTCTCATTTGGCGGAATATGGTCGACAAGTGCAACCTCAACTCGACGTGTCAATGTAGCTTCGAATCATGACGTTGAAGAGAATACACGCATCTCGAATTCATAACTCACGAGCAAAGTATTCTACAATTCTTGCGATGCTGAATAATATCGGGTCACAGCTGAGAAATCGTTGTCTTTGTTGTCAAAAGTCGAGCTGCAGCATAATTTAAGATGTATACTTTTTATTTGGTGGAGTTGTTGTGACAAGGATAAACTCGTGTCCTGATCTGCTTCACTTGTCGCAAAGTACTTCTTTCAGATATGATACTACAGTATGGCCTTGCGGGGTCCCTCGCGAGCAACACAACAACTTTTGCTACACTGCGCTGAACTCCTCCGTTGACGAATACATTAATAATTCCAACGATATTTCGAGCTATGCGTTAACGCGAGTATGTTTGAACATCTTTATGTTTGCTGTGTTTTGTGTCTGCCGATGCGTGATTCCACTAATCAAGTGACAAGTCAAAAATCTTTGGCGTCGATGTTTGGAGCAGCAACAAACCAACAAAACTTCTCAACGTCACGTTAAATTATCAAAGCATCAAGCAGCTTTTATCGCAGATATGACGTCTATAGATAGCTCTTGGTCAGTGTGTAAAGTTTCATAAGCAATTACATAACACGAAACTTTGCAACTACATATGGCTACAAGCAGAAAATCACCAGTCGCTGCATGATTGACATAGTCATTCTAATTCTGGACCTTTGACCTCTAGCAGCGTATCCGTACTTCAATCCTGCACCAGATGAAACCACGATATCTCATCCTCACTTTCATTATGGCCGGAGGATATGAAGACGACACCGGTTAAATATTGCAAGTTTAAATTCAAATACTTGGTCGCTTGAACCATTAGTTGTTGCACAGCACAAGTTGCAACACCGGTAGATGAGACCCAGACAGAATGGACACCCAACATTTTGTTTATCATAGCCTTTCTGTGTGTCATCCTGTAAAACAAATGCTCGAATAATCACCAAGTAATCAGCGGTAGGAAGCCCTAGCGACCATTGCAACGGCTTTCTCGATATCACAGATGGGTAAAGTTGACGTCTCACATACAAACTTGTAGTGTTTGTCGACATGGACGGCCTTCTTATTTGTACTTGAAACTTGTGATGACTCTCAATGCAACCCCTCTCGCCCCAGAAACGGTGTCGTTGTGACGAATGGACGCTACTACATTTCAAATTCATGTTTCCAGCCATAAGTGCCCGTGAATCCGTCTCCAATATATCGCCTATTGACGCTTCAATGACATTGGGAGGAATGCCTCCACTCAATAATGTGGCGATCAATGCTAGTAATATCTCCGACATTGTTGCTGCTGGTGCAAGTTCCAACGAAATCTTGACGGCTTTCGCAAGTCTCGATACTGACGTAGAAGATATCACCAAGTCCGATGGCACGCTGCCGCTGGAATTCCAATGCCAGTATCGTCGAGGCAAGTGTTCACAACCACGGACGCTTAAGAAGAACGGGTCGATGCACAGCTATTGCGAGTATCACCGCCAGCTCTCAGTACGCAACCAACGAGCGTTTGATCAGAAAAAACGACGCCAACGACGAACACTTGAGGCAGATGAAGAAGCTGAGAAACGACTTTGTCGCTCTCGACGACCGACATCACACTCTTGTGTCGGAGATGTAGAAGTGTAGAGCCCCAAAACAAACTAACGACTCGCACGCAGGTGCCGATCAGTGTACTGACCAATCGACAAAAGAAAGTATCCAAGACAGACACAACACCTGATAGCAAAATCACACGTTGTTGAGCAAAAGAATTGCATTGATATTACTTCTCTTACAACGCACCCCAGATATGTCGGCAATAAATTCCTGTCAGCCCCACGCCTCTCCAGTTATCATCAACATCTCTGTTTGCAGTACAAGTGCATACCAGCATCTACCCACCACTACTTTTAGCTTAGTCCACAACAATCGACCACGGATGCTCGCGACGGCCATACTGTATATCGGACAGCTCCTTCCAGATACGCTCGGCGAGCTTGCCAGCCTTGCCGTCCGTACCATCAAGCGGAATAACCAGATCTTTGTGCATGTAGTTGATAGTCGACACAGGCGAGACGACTGCAGCAGTACCTGAGCCAAAAATCTCGAGAACGCGGTCCTCCTTGCTGGCCTTCTGCAACTGTTTCATATTGATATTGCCCTCCGTCACCTTAAACTCGTTCCACTCACGTGTCAAGTGCAAGATCGAATCCCGCGTAATGCCTGGCAGAATATCACCGCGCGTAAGTGGTGGTGTAATAAGTTCTTTCTCACCCTGTTCATTAATCCAGTGGATAAACAAGTTCATAGTGCCGACCTCTGTGATCTCATGGTCAGGTCCAAAGATCCACAAATTTTGCGAGTAGCCCTGTTTACTTGCAGAGTATTGTGGCAGAATCCCTGGAGCGTAATTTGCTCCAACCTTGTGGCCACCTGTACCTCCAGGCCATGCACGAATGTACCGGTCATTGGCACACAACTTTACAGGGTTAAATCCCTCGGGGTAATATGGTCCAACAGGTGACAAGATGATGAAAAGCTTGGCTTTTTCACTAATCCCGACACCGATCGAAGCTTGAGTGCTGATACCCGTAGGACGAATATAGAGCGAATAACCTTCACCCGTTGGTACCCAGTCCTTATCGAGACGAATGAGTTCTGCTAGACATTTAAGAAGCTCATCTCCATCAAATTCTGGTAGCAATAGACGTTTCATCGACTTGTTAAGACGTTTCATGTTCATATCCGGACGAAAAAGTCGCACGTGACCCTCAGCGTCAATATAAGCCTTCATGCCTTCAAAACACTCAAGAGCATAGTGCAATACAGCACTAGCTGGATCGATTGATAGAAGACCATAAGGACGAATCATAGGGTTGCCCCATCCTTTCCCAACTTCCCAATCTACTTCGAGCATATGATCCGTAAATGTTTTGCCAAACTGAAGCTCTTCTTTGGGTACTTTTGTCTTTGGATTAGACGTACGATCGATTATAAGGTTCGAAAGTTTAATGTCATTTCCAGTGGAAAAGGTGCGTGCTGAGGCCACACGACCAAGAGATTTGGTGCTTCGAGCGAGCATAATAACGATCGCAAAATAGTTTATTAATCTGAGCCACAAATTCTGGAATGAGGTTATGAAGAGCTCTTGGATACTTAGTGGAAAACAAATGGGGGATGAAATGTGTGGAGCTTAAGTATTGGTTCGTGGAGATGTGCTCAATTCTGCATCAAATTGTTTTGATGCGATGCAGAAATGTAGAGTACTTAAGCGAGGCAGATGTGTATTAAAGTGAGGTAAAATTAACCATGTAGCCACTACATTTGTTATACAGATATACCTTTCTAAAATAATACTTTAATGCTATTACCATTTATTATTTATTACTAGGGTATTTACCCGTCGTTCCGACGGACATGGTTTCATGCTATTAATACATATATAGGGGTGTTCTCGTCGTTTCGACCGATAGGTGCACAAATTTGACGCTGACCGTATATTGACTTAGGTAATTGATTCGTTCTAAAGGTAATGTGTATGAAGGCCAATGCGTACCTGTCGTTTCGAAAGTTAAGGTGTTCACCCGTCGTTTCGACGAACATGGTCTGCCTTTTGACCTGTAAACCCATCATTTAACGTAAGATAATTCGATTGACTTAGGGTAAAGATGGATACGAAAATCAATGTGTACTCGACGTTTCGTCAATTTATCATTTCATCATCCGTCGTTCCAACGGTACGAAGTTGCATATATAGGTATCTTTAACGCAGCGATTGGCTAGGGTGTTTACCCGTCATTTCCGCAAATTAGTACGCGAAGTCTACGAAAATAATTTCTTTATTGAGTTTATATCACGTCGTTTTGATGGAACGCTGCGCGAAGTCGACGCTGCTAAATTGTGTGCCTGTCGCTTCGACGGAAAGGACAGCGAATTCTACGCTAATAGCATATTGTATTATTTAGGGTGTTCACCCGTTGTACCGACGGTGCAAAGTAGTAGTATATCGCAACGAATTGCTAGGGTATTTACCCGTCGTTCCGACGGATACCCCTACAGTAGATGTATACTGGTCAATCACTCTGCTAAATCAGGTAAATTTATAGGTATTGAAGTCAATGTGTATTTAGGCCAATGTAAACCCGTCGTTCCACCGGATACACATTAGCGAATTTCTCTAACGCGTTAATATACTGTCATTTATTTCTAGATAATGCCTACACCCTAGTGAAACGATGGACGATAGCACCATAATTCATCGACCCACTTCTTTTATGGTGTCCACCCTTCGTTCTGATGGTGCAAAGTAGAAAATATTGGCGTGTTAAACGCCCCAATTTGCTCGGATGTATACCCGTCATTCCAGCGGATATGGTGCGCAAGTCGACGCCTGTAATATATTGACCTTTACATCATCGTTTTACCAATTTGGTTGACTGCATTAAAATGATGATATAAAGGTCAATGTGTACTCGTCGTTCCAACGGACATGGTGACTAAAGTTTGCCTTTTGACCTTCGAATCCAACATTTTCCCTTACGATGTTAAGGTAAAGTGATGGGTATGAGAATTAATGTGTACTCGTCGTTCCGACGGATAGTAGCGTGCGGACCGAATAGACAGATGTAATTGTGTATATAGGACCGTATGTAATTTAATCTATGTCTGTCAATCAATTTATAATACAACATTTTACCTGTGTGCAGCTTTTGGTAGTTCCATTGTTCCGTCGGATAGGGGCGCGATTCTACGCTGATAGTACCCTGGCCCACCATATATCTTAAAATAGGGATGCTCACTCGTCGTTCCGACGGATATGGTGAGCAAACATTTGTTAAATAATCGTCGTACCCACTTATTATTCTGGTTGAGTCAGGTAATTGCTACATATGAAGTCAATAAGTATGAAAGGCAAGGTCTACCTGTCGACGCTGGTCAATGTGTACCTGTCGATTCGAAAGTCAATATGTACCTGTCGTTCCTACGAGCACAGTTAGCGAAGTATGCCTTACGATTTTCGTATAAACGGTCATATAAGTGAAACTGATGGGTATGAAGGTAAATGTAAACCCGTCGTTCCGTAATGAAGAATATCCGGTTGACTCAGGTAAAATGAATAAGTATGATGCATTACATATGAGTCGATTCGCTTTTTGTAACTGCATCCACTCTAATATGATCACTAAGCTTGCTTTTGCCAACTTTTTACAGTATTATTAAAGCACTGAACCAATGTTTGGAATAGTTGTAAAGCATGTGTCTCATCTAATATATCTAAGAAATGCTGTGTTCGATATTGCAATATGTAATGATGAATATGAACACGTATGTGTGCAATCGTTTTGTATATTAGTGTTATAGATAGAAGCACGACATATGGAGACTCTGTTATGGAGATCTGCACATATAATTATCAACAAAAATGCATAGTCAGCCATTGCAAAATGAGCCAAAATGCATCAGCCAATCCAAAATTAGCAAATAATGCAAAAATAGCCAAGCTAATACCTTAGCACCGTTCGCTTAATGAGTAAATGCAAATCCATTAAAAATTTGTCTGCTTACAGTCAAAGCACTATTTGCTCTCGTCACCTTTTTTGCATTTTTTCTGTAGCTCAAAAGTGGCAGGTGCTAATGCTACTGAGCTCATCTGTCCATAAGCCACAAAAACGAGCAATCACGCATTTTCGTCCTATTTGGCTTCATCCTTTAGCACCGACGGTAGTAGCCACTGCCGCATCTGTCTATCAAAAACAAAAGTGACCGAAGCAAACTTTTTAACTCTGAAATATGCAAAAAATATCTTAAGTACCGCTTTGGGTTCGCGAGGGCACATGAAATCAAAATTAATTTGATTTTTTCTTTTTAAATAGTTTATATCAATTAAAATGTAATGCAAACGTCAGCTGATTGAAGTACCAAGTTGGCGGATAGAGTGGACGCGTGAGTTGAAGACTTGAATTAGATGAAGCGTAGCCATGCAGTTATTGTTTCTGACGATGCATTAGATACGGAAAAATATCTAACGAGCCATGAGGAAAACGAATTTCGAAGCAAATGCTGATTATATGATACACTTACAGCTTGGGCGTAACTGGGAGGGTATGTGCCGGGCATTAAATAGGTGAATATATAGTTTAACAAGTCACCATTGTGATACATTAGAGACTGGAGACGACAGCTTTTTTATAAGCCGTCGGCCAAGAGATTGGATGCCACTCCAATGGAGTTAGAGAATGCAGACGTGAACTGCTACAAGTTCGGCAAGCGCGACCATATGATGGCTCGCTGCTATGCCAAACTTTCTGCTTGTGCTAAGGCATCCAGAAAAAAGCTCCCTACCCGAGGGGAGGTGCGAGAATCAGCGTGCACGACGCACGGGTTCAGTACCTACCCAACATGAGTCGGGAAATGTGGGAGCGTTGTAGGGGCGGGATGCCCTACTGTTGCGGAATGTGAAGCTACCCCTATGTTCAGATCTATCGAACAAATGGGTAGCATAGTCCCTGAGGTTCCGAAAGGTCGGACCTCAACCCTTTTGGTCTATAGCGCTCGTACGAGGCTATGACCAAGTGATGACCCTTCTCGTGGATTCGGGTGCATCACAAAACTTTGTGAAACTCACGGCTCTGAAAAGGAGACCGGCGAGTTATGAGTCGCTTTGCCATCCTGGCAAAGCGAGAAGAGGCGATCGTTCGTTTAGCGAACGGCGCGCTCGTTAAATCGGAGGGAGTTCAAGTTGAACTCGCCTTCAGTTTCAGTGACTTCTCCTGTAAAGAGAAGTTCACAGTGCTAGGTATGGAGAGTCCGTATGAACTCATCCTAGGCATGCCTTGGTTGGCTAAACACCAACCATGGATAGACTGGCGTACACGCACAGTCGCTAGCTCTACGCAAGACACCGGAAAGGATGTGCTCTTGCGAGAGGCTTATGTGGCTGATGCTGTGTTCAACACAGTCGAGGGTGCGATGACGGTATGTCAATCGACACCAGGAACTACCCAGCTCGAAAGGAGTGGTGTAATTGGAAGTGCACTGGCGGAAAGGCAGGTGACACATATTCCTACCCAGGTAGAAAAGACTGGTGTAGTGAATGGGGCGATGACAGGTAGTCATGCGTCCAATAGTCCTGCACAGAGAAGAAAGCCTGTGGAAGTTGATGGTGGGCTGACAGGAAGTCAAGCGCCACAAGAATTGGCACAGAGCCAAGAGCCTGGTGCGGTTGGAAGGAGTGCGTTAGCTGAGATAGCAACGACACCTTCTTCTAGGTCAAAAGTCGTGGTGACTCGAAGAACGAGCACCAGACGTATTAAGACGATCAAGGGCACGTCGAAACGAGTGACCCTTGGATCAGTCTCGGTCCAAGAGGACGGACCTACGAACGAGTTGTTCGAGGCCGTCGAAGACAAAATGCCGGAGGCATCCTCAGTTGAGGTGCTCCAACTTGTCTTGGCATCTGCCGAGGAGATAGTAAATCTCTCGGAGATGACGTGGGATCTGTTCCTCTCCGAAATAAAGGAAGGAAATATCCACGAGATAGTCGCACCAGTTCAAGAAGAGAACGTGGTGGACTGTTGCGCTTCATCCACAATGGATGAGAGCGTCTTGGAGACCGACAAGAAGAAACGGTTCGATGCTCAAGGCTGAGAAGCAGTGAAGGACAGCCCGTTCTATGATGTTCTGTGGAAACACCGTGATGTGCTTCCAGCAGAAGTGCCGAGTCGCCTACCGGCCGATAGGGGCATCAGGCACGAGATTGACCTGGAGCCTGGCACCAAGTATTTTGTGACCAGGCAATGTCTGTTGCCGAAGGAACAAGTCGATTACATCGATGAGTTCTTCGACAAGCGAGCTAAGGCGGGACATGTACGTGAGAGCAAGTCGCCTCACTGCAGCCCTACCTTCTGTGTGCGTAAAGAAACAGGTGGATGGCGCGTGGTTCATGCTTATAATAAGCTGAACACGGCCACCATTCCGGCTCAAACGCCGATCCCGCGGAAAGATGCTTTGTTAAATTCCATGGGAAAGTCAACTATCTTTTCCGCTTTGGATCTGAAGGATGGCTACTATCAGGTTCTCATA